CCTTTTCTCTGTGTTCTCCATTCTCCTACTGAGCCCATCTAATGATGTTTCTGTAAGATATTCTATATTTCAGTTCTAAAACTTTAATTTTTTTCTTTATAGTCTGCTAAAATTCATATTTTAATTTATTTCAGGTGTGTTTTCTCTACCTAATGAAGCACAGTTATTATAATCATTGCTTTAAAGTTTTTGTCTGATAGTTCTTACTTCTGGGTCTATGAGGGTTGCCATCTATTATCTTTCCCCTTGAGAATTCGTCATATTTTCTTGGTTATTTTTATGTTGAATAATTTTAAATTGCATTCTGGATATTGTGAATTCAGTGCTGTATTAATAACTCCAAATCCTGTTATAATATTCTGGAGAATGTTATGTTTTATTTTAGCAAATTATCTACCAGTTTGTGTTTAGACTATAAGTTCTGTCTTTTTATGTGAGTTGTAGTCTAAATGTCACTTTAGTTTTCTAAATTTTGCTTTGTTGGCTTGAGTCTGCCCTATCACCTGTAGTTCAGGGATTAGATTCATACTTGTGTGCATACTTCAACTCTCAGCTCAGTTCTCTAAGCCTTTACTATATTGGTTTGGGTATGTTCCATACTTCTGTTATTCATAGGATAGGCTGTGTATTCTAATCTCAGTTCACTTCTTAAAACTTTCCTATGCTTGAGTCTGAACTGCATGTGTATGGCTCAGGGGTTATTCTTAGACTAGTGTGGGTTCATACTCAGAATTAGAGTATTTCCTTTTCCAGATCTCTTCATTCATGGATTCCCTCCACACTCTTCACCTCACAGGGGCATTTTTCTTCTGGTTCTTTTAACCAAAAAGTCAAGGCTTATGTTAGAACTTAGTCATATATTCTGAAATGATGCTCTGTCAATGATCCCACCCTGAGGGCAAAACTAAGAAGAAATAAACATTGGAGAATATTGTACCAGGCTTGCATCCCTGGGATAAATCCCACTTGGTCATGGTTAATAATCTTTTTAATATATTGCTGGATTCTGTTTGGTAATATTTTATTGAGGATTTTGGCATCCATGTTCATCAGGGATATTTGCTGATAATTTTCTTTCTTTGTAGTATCTTTATCTGGTTTTGGAATTAGGATAATGCTGGCCTTATAAAAAGATCTTGGAAGTCTTCCTTTCTCTTGATTTTTTTGGAATAGTTTGAGGAGGATAGGTATTAGTTTTTCTTTGAATGGTAAAACTCCCCTGTGAAGCTAGGGTTCAGGAGTTTTATTTGCTAGTTTCTTTTTATTACTGCATCACTTTCATTAGTTGTTATTGGTCTATTCAGGTTTCCTGATTCAGTTTTGGAAGATTGTATTTTTCTAGGAATTTGTCTGTTTCAACCAGGTTGTCCAATTTGTTGGCTTATAGTTATTTGTAATAATTTCTTACAATCTTTTGTATTTCTGTGGTGTCAGTTTTTACTTCACCTCTTTTGTTTCTGATTTTATTTATTGGGGTCCTCCCTCTTTGTTTCTTGATGAGCCTGGCTAGAGGTCCATCAATCTTGTTTATCTTTCAAAGAACCAGCTCTTGGTTTCACTGATTTTTTTGTATTGTTTCTGTAGTCTGTGTCATTTATTTCCACCCTGGTCTTTATTATTTTCTTCTTTCTCATTACTCTGGGCATTTCTTATTGTTTTCTTTCTAATTCTTTTAGTTGTAGGGTGAGATAGTTTATTAGAGATTTTTCTTGTTTCTTGAGGTAAGCCTGTAGTGCTATGAACTTCCCTCTTGAGACTGCTTTTGGCTGTGTCTTACACATTTTGGGTGGTTGTGTGTTCATTTTCATTTGTTTCCAGGAAGTTTTTAATTTATTCCTAGATCTCATTGGTAACTCATATATATAAAAGCCTAAGCCCTCCACCCACCCCCAATCCTCTCTTCCCTCTGGCCATCACCACCCTGTTGTCTGTGTCCATCGTTTATGCATCTATGTTCTTTGGCTCATCCCTTCACCTGCTTTCATCCAGTCCCTCATGTCGCTATGATGCGCACTGACCACCAGGGGGCAGGCGCATGCAGAAGCTGCCCCCTGGTGGTCAGTGAGTTCCAACAGCCAACCTTCCATGGCCCCTCCTTCCCCACGGCCGGCCAGCTCGATGGCCCCAATCAGGCCTGCCAAACTCCTGCAGCTCCTCCCCCCAGCTGGTCCACCTCCCACAGCTCCTCTCCCCAGCTGGCTCACCTCAAATGGCCCCTCTCCCCAGTTGGCCAAACTCCCGCAGCCCCTGCCCCTGGTCAGCCAACCTCCCACAGTCCCTCCCCCCAGCCAGCCAACTTCCCCGTGGCCTCTCCCCCCAGCCAGCAAACCTCTTGTGGCCCCTCACCTGGCCAACCTCCCGTGTCCCCAATCAGCCCTGATCACCCCCACCCATGCACAGATTCGTGCACCAAGCCTCTAGTTGTTTAATGCTATTTAGCCTCCATGTGTTTGGATGTTTTTGAGTGTTTTTTAAAATATATTTTTATTGATTTCAGAGAGGAAGGGAGATGGAAAGAGAGATAGAAACATTAATGATGAGAAAGAATCATTGATTGGTTGCCTCCTGCATGCCCCACACTGGGGATTGAGCCCACAACCCAGGCATGTGCCCTTATCAGGAATGAACCATGACCTCCTGGTTCATAGGTCAATGCTCAACCACTGAGCCACCGTGGCTGGGCTTGCGTGTTTTTATTGTAGTTGATTTCTAGCTTCATGACATTGTGATCTGAGAAGATGCTTGATACGATTTCATTCTTTTTGTGTATAATACTACAAATCCATTGTAATCAAAACTGCCTGGTACTGGCACAAGAGCATGTGTATAGATCAGTGGAACAGAACAGAGAACCCAGAAATTGACCCAAGCTATTATGGTCAATTAATACTTGACAAAGAAGGTAAGAGCATACAATGAAGTGAAGACAGTCTCTTCAATAAATTGTGTTGAGAAAATTGGACGATACATGCAAAAAAGTGAAACTAGACCACTAACTAATACCATACACAAGAATAAACTCAAAATGGATAAGAGACTTAATTTGTAAACCCATAAAAATCCTTAAAAAAAGAACAATAGGCAGCAAAAGTTCAGACATCTCACGTAGCAGAATTTTCATTGATACATCACCAAGAGCAAGAGAAACATAGGAAAAAAATAAACAAATGGGACTACATCAAACTAAAAAACTCTGCACAGCAAAGAAACCATCAACAAAATAAAAAGGGAGCCCACTGTATCGGAGAATATATTTGCCAATGATATATCTGATAAGGGGTTAATTTTCAAAATGTATAAAGTACTGATACAACTTAATAAAAGGAAGACAGAAAATTAAATTAAAAAATGAGCAAAGGACCTGAATAGACACTTCTCCAAAGAGGACATACAAATGGCCAAGAGACATGAAAAGATGCTCAACATCATTAATCATCAGAGAGATGCAAGTTAAGAAACTACAATGAGGTATCACCTCACACCTGCTAGAATGGCTACCATCAACAAATGACAAGTGTTGGCAAGGATGTGGAGAAAAGGGAACCCTAGTACAATGCTGGTGGGAATGCAGCCACAGTTTGGAGTTTCCTCAAAAATTTAAAAATGGAACTGCCTTTTGACTGAACAATCCCACTTCTAGGAATATATCTGAAGAAAACCAAAACACTATTTCAAAAGAACATATGCACCCCTAAGTTCTAGCAGTGTCCTTTACTATTGTTAAGATCTGGAAAGAGTCCAAGTGCCCATCAGTAGATGAGTGGATAAAAAAGCTGAGATACATTTACACAATGCAACACTATGCAGCTGTAAAAAAGAAGGATCTCTTACCCTTTGAGACAGCATGGAACCTGGTGGAGAGTATTATGCTAAGCAAAATAAGCCAGGCAGAAAAAGACAAATATCACATGATCTCACTCTTATGTGGAATCTAAAGAACAAAATAAACTGATGAACAAAATGGATCCAGAGACATAGAAGCATGGAACAGATTATGGAATCTCAGAAGGAAGGGTGGGAGGGGTGGGAAGAGATTAACCAAAGAATTTATATGCATAACCCATGGACATAGACAATAGTGCAGTGAAGGCCTGGGGGTGGAGCAGGAAGGGTGTGGAGGGGGGTCAGTGGAGTAAGAAAGGGGGAACATCTGGAATACTTTCAACAATAAAGATAAATATTTCAAAAAAGAAGAAGAAATAATGGTTAAATTCTTCCCCATGCAGGTTGACTCCCCTTCACAATCTACCTGCTGTATTTATTTTAGAGTATTCACATAGTTGTTTTGGGTCCAGAGTTTTTAGCTGTAATCAGCAGGAACGTTTCAGTAGTCCGTTTTTCACTTGCCTTGTCAGCACTGCAACTCCTTAGGTTGTTTTGTTTCAAGTTAATCCTGTATTTTTCTACTCCATTATAATTAAGTAGAAAATAATTAACCAAAGTTATTGAAAGTTTGGAAGTTCAGTAGTATTCCAAGGAAGATGTTTTTAGTTTTGGAAAGGAGGAATGAATAGCACATAGAAGTCTATAACTTCATTCAGTTAGTAAAATAAAACATTGATGATATATACTATGTGCTGGGTGTGAAAGCTAGTAAAATAATTTCAGAGTTTATCTTATAACCTAGTGGGCATTAGATTTGCTTCAATAAATAAAGACCAGTAAATAACAATAATAAGTATATTATTTGCAAGAATTATTTCTCAAGGGTTGAAATAGCATTTTTATTTAATCAACATATGAGTATCTTCAAAATAATGAATAATAGTACAGGCATATTTCATTTTGAATCCACCCTCAAATCAATATAATTTTAATATTAGTGGAAAATCTAAATTAATGATATTTTACTATAGTTTATTAACTAATTTGCTTTTTTATAAAGTTTTAATCTTATTTAAGAAAACTACTTTAATTAAATACAGGATGGTTTCTTTTTTAGTATTTTCTATAGGGTGTCTGATGTAGACTTTTCTAAACTCTGCTTAATTAAATCACAGACACTACCAGAGCAAGAAGAAGCCAGGAGAGTGATGGTGTTGAATATATTTTCATTTCCAAGCATTTGTTTGAGACAGATGTGCAAAATAACAAGTAAGTGGACATTTTTTATAGTTTTGTGTGACTTGTTTTTTAAAAAATATAATTTTATTGATTTTTTAATTTTTTATTATTTTTAATATTTTTATTGATTTCAGAGAGTAGGGGAGATGTATAGAGAGATAGAAACATCAATGATGAGAGAGAATCATTGATTGGCTGCCTCTTGCATGCCCCCTACTGGGGATCAAGCCTGAAACCTGGGCATGTGCCATTGACTGGATTCAAACCCAGGACCCTTCAGTCCGCAGGCCAACAATGCTCTATCCACTGAGCCAAACCAGCTAGGGCTTTATCGATTTTTTTAGAAAGGTAGGGAGAGGGATAGAGAGATAGAAACATCAATGAGAGAGAATCATCGATCAGCTGCCCCCTACTGGGGATTGAGCCTGCAACCCAGGCATGTGCTCTGACCAGGAACTGAACCAATAACCTCTTAGTTCCTAGGTCAATGTTCACCCACTGAGCCACACCGGCTGGGTTGTGTGACCGTTTTTCAGTATGTCCCTTATATCCAGTTTTAGACAATTGAGGGTTCCCTTCCATTTGAAATATATTTTAATTTTTATAATATTTGAAACCAACTAAAAGGTGGTAATTTAGTTAGTACTTATTAGCAATCTTCGGTTGTAATTTTTTAATAGGCTAGAGCTGCTGTTTCTGGGAGGATAAATGTATAGGAATTGTTTGAATAACGAGAGAAGCTTGCTCTAGTGTCATTATGGTCCTTTCCCCCTGCTATTTGAATTTTAACATATAATTTGAATACAATTTTATTTTAAAAACTAACAACTATGTAATAGATCCCTAGTTCCACAGTTTCCTATATACATACCTCTATATATATTTGGCTTTTCAAAAAGTTGAAATAATGTTAATCATCTTGCTTGTAGCATATCCTCTAGCTAGCCCTACATGCCCTCTCCCCACGTCTTCCATTTGCTTAAGCATGAATTACTTTAGGGTATTAGAGAGAGCAATGTGTGTTTTAATACAGGAGTGTGGAATTTTATTGAAACATCAAAATGCTTTTTTCGTGTTTGGCACAGCGATTATGTTTTTATAGCACATAATTGGCTGCCCTGGTTCCATTAGCCACCAACCTGTTCTTCCTCTGGTTCTAAAGGTGGTTATTCTGTAGTGCGCAGTGAAATTTCAGTAGTTTCTATTGTTTGGCTTATTCACTGTTTTATTGCATTGCATTAGTTCTGAAAAAGAGGTGATGGAAAACGTTAGTGTACTGCTGGACTAAAGTACTTTTTGTCTGCTTAAGTGTAATACAAGCAAGTGTTACTGATTTGAAAAATGTAAAATAAAAGATTTTTTAAATTGACATTCCGGAGTACTTGGCTCTATTTATTTTATTAAACACAGTAAAAAATTTTCATGTTCAGCAAGAATATCTTTTACTTATATGAATTATGTCTTGCTACCTATATATATTGAATTCATAAATGATTCTGATGCATTTCTAATTTTCTGCAGGTTTATTGAATATGGTGAATATAAAAACAACTACTATGGCACAAGTATAGACTCAGTTAGGTCTGTCCTAGCTAAAAACAAAGTTTGCTTGTTGGATGTTCAACCTCATGTAAGTAAACAATGAACTATTCACTACCCTTCCAGCCCATGTAATCTGTGCTTGATGCGAGCATCTCACTACAAGGTTGAATCTGAAGTCTACTCACTTTGGTCATGTATGTGGCTTTGCTAAGATGACAAAAGCATTTCAAAAAATTTGAGAAGTTTTTGGTGAACTGAAAGCCCATATTATTGTTAGAAAGAGGAGTAGGAAAAGCCTCCAAATCTGTGTTTGTAAGTCTTGTTTATATTCAGTTTTTGCAAAGTATAAGGTCTCTTAGATTTTCTTTTCTATATTTTGTATTTTTTTAATGTTACATTATATGTATTCTTATATATTATCATAAATATTTATAACTAGAAGCCCGGTGCATGAAACTCGTGCACTGGGGCAGGGGTGTCCCTTAGCCCAGCCTGCACCCTCTCCAATCTGGGACCCCTCAGGATCCCGACCCCTTCCAGCCTGGTTGCCCCCAACTGCCCTCCCCTGCTGGCCTGATAGCCCCCACTACCCTCCCCTGCTGGCTAGAATGCCCCCAACTGCCCTCTCCTGCCAGCCAGATTGCCCCAACTGCCCTCCCCTGCCGGCCTGGTCGCCCCCAACTGCCCTCCCCTGCCAGCCTGATTTTGCCAACTGCCCTCCCCTGCAGGCCTGGTCTCCCCCAACTGACCTATCCTGCTGGCCTGGTCACCCCTAACTGCCCTCCCCTGCTGGCCTGGTCCCCCTCAAGTGACCTTCCCTGCCGGCCTGTTCCCCCCCAACTGCCCTCCCCTGACGGCCTGGTCCTCCCAACTACCCTCCCCTGCAGGTCTTGTCACCCCCAAATCCCCTCCCCTGCCAACCTGGTTGCCCACAACTGCCCTCCCCTGCCGGCCTTGTCCCCCCCAATTGCCCTCCCCTGCTGGCCTGGTCACCCCCAACTTCCCTCCCCTTCCAGCCTGGTTGCCCCCAACTGCCCTCCCCTGCTGGCCTGGTCACCCCTAATTGCCCTCCCCTGCTGGCCGTCTTGTGGTGACCATCTTTGACCACATGGTGGCAGCCATCTTGTGCGAGGGTGTGAAGGTCAATTTGCATATTAGCTCTTTATTATATAGGATTTTTAACAATGGCCCTTTTGGTTCTAGGTTCTATGTATATCCTAGATTTGGGGTTTATGTATAACTAGAGCTGTGGGGCATTTCACAGGAACTCCATGGCATGAGCCCCTATTGCCACTGTCAGGTAGGTCTCTGCCTGGCACCCTGGGAAATCTCAGGAACATGTGGACTGAGGGTGCCAGTGCATGAAGCCATTCAGTTGTCACACCATCTAGCCTCCAGCAGAAACCTAACCCACAGCATTTTCCTCATAACCAGCAGCCAGTTTCTCACTTCAGGGATGGCTGCACCCCAGGGTGTAAAACCTCCAAGGCCAGCCAGGATGGCCCGGAGAAGGCCTTTGCCACTCAATCAGGAGTCAGTAGGGCATCAGACTCAGGCACCAGCAATGAATGGGACACACTCTTGCTTGAGCAGAACCTCCCTGCTGGTGTCCTGGGACTAGATGTTCCCAACTTCCTTGGTGTGGTTTAAACTCTACATTCTCAGTGCCTCACCAGCCCCTCCGTCCCCTGTCACTTGTAGTGTAAATAACAAAATATTTTCTAGAGGAATGTTGACAAGCTTCATGGAAAGCAGGAGGCTTGCCCTTTTGGGGCACTTTGAAGAGTAGAAGGAAAGAGGAGAACCCATGCCTGAAGTCAGGGAGAGACTTAAATGGGATGGCTGGAAGACTTTTGTGTACAGAACGTCATCCAAGTCATAGGGGATTTGATTTAAAAATCAGTTTTATGCCAAAACCGGTTTGGCTCAGTGGATAGAGCGTCGGCCTGCGGACTGAAAGGTCCCAGGTTCGATTCCGGTCAAGGGCATGTACCTGGGTTGCGGGCACATCCCCAGTGGGAGATGTGCAGGAGGCAGCTGAGCAATGTTTCTCTCTCATTGATGTTTCTAACTCTCTATCTCTCTCTCCCTTCCTCTCTGTAAAAAATCAATAAAATTAAAAAAAATAAATAAATAAAAAATAAAAATCAGTTTTATGGTATTTCTAGCCGCTTCAGTTCAATGTTAATTATGGCATATTTCAAAACATTTTTTAAGGCAAGTTACATTCTTCATCATCTTTACAGGGGGATTTATTACATTTAATTGTCAACAACTGATTGAATAATACATTGAAAGATCAACTGACCTTGACTAGGAAATAATTTTAAGAAATTTTCTCCTTAGAAAATTTTGTTTTATTGTAAAAATTGCTCATGAAATTATGGAGAAATATAAAAACAACCTTATTTTCTTCCTTGCAGACAGTGAAGCATTTAAGGACACTAGAATTTAAGCCCTATGTGATATTTATAAAGCCTCCATCAATAGAGCGTTTGAGGGAGACAAGAAAAAATGCAAAGATTATTTCAAGTAGAGATGACCAGGGTACTGCGAAGCCTTTTACAGTAAGTATCATGATGCTTTAGTGAAAATACATAAGCAGTAGTTAAAATCACATATGCAGTAGTGACTATCTTAGGAAAACTATAATAGATGAAGTGTAATCCAAAAATCTATGATATAGAATTGTGTTTAGGTACAGACATTTTGAGTAATTGTACTGTAATTGCTTTTTGTACTTCCATGAATGGATCTTCATATTAAACTGACTCAAAACTATTTGGCATAATTATAAAATTTTTGTAGGCCATTTATATAAAAGTTAGACCAGTTGGTTTTCAGACTACTCTTATTTTTAAGGGGAAAAATACTAAAGTCAATTACTATTAATTATTAATGATCTAGACGAAAATTTTAATAATTTGCCTTTTTTGTCTTCTTGCATCAACAATATTTAGCATAATAAAGGAAAAAGCATCATTTTGGGTATAGTAGACTCATGTAATTATTCAATATTTGTATTTCCTATGAATGTTATTATAAATGGCAACTGTGGTATGTTAATGACTACAATGATTTCTGGCAAGGCCTTTCATTTCCTTGTTTTTTGTTTCTATCTTTAAGATAATATATTCTACCTTAGGATAGAAAGTAAAGAGCAAAGAAATTAAATGTCAAGAGCTTTTTTCCCCTCTCTCTCTTAACTTTCCCCTCCCTCATTTTTAATTTGTACACTATAAATTATAGTTACAAAATACAGATTATACTTTTGATTCCCAGTATTTGATAAGTATCTTTTTTACAAAATACTGGCAATACATATCCATGTTGAATGAGTATCATCATATGATATTACTGAGGGCTCTAGATTAACACTAAAGTTAAATTTTCTGTTGTGAAATACTCTGTGACATTGAAATGTGGACTTGAAATTAGTATGTTGCTGTGTAAAGAGCTATTATACTATTTATAGACTTAAACGTTTCTCAGTGGAGATAATAAATGATAGCATAGTCCTAGGATTTAGGTCACATTTATGTATATGGTTATATATAACCCTGAGTTACATAATCAACTAAAATATTTCCTGGCTCAAAAACGTGGGTATGATGGGCCTCTGACCCACTTCCAATGAAGCATAGGAAGGACTTGGTAACTGTTGTTTTATAAATGCATCCAACTCTGAAAAACTAGTTAATGCTCTAAATTCTTTGCTATGAAGAAGCATAAATAATGCAGCATCAGAGTAAATGGTTCTTCCCATCTCTCCCTCATAACTATTTTGACACTGAGATATCCCTATAATAAGTTAGTGACTGATTACCCTGAACTTCAGGTAAGATGCAAGTTTTGACTCTTGTCAGATCAGTTTAGGTACAAGCAAATCAGAGAAGTAATATTAGGAATTATGACTTCTGAAGAACTTGTAATTAAAGAGGGTAATTTTCATTTCTGGCTGAGGTGAGAGAATGGACAGAACAGCATTAGATAAGCCAGTGGTGGAATGTTTGCATTGATGTGATGTAATTGTCTGGTTAACCACTTAAAAAAAATTACTTCCTTTTGTAGGAAGAAGACTTTCAAGAAATGATTAAATCAGCACAGATAATGGAAAGTCAGTATGGTCATCTCTTTGACAAAATTATAGTTAATGATGATCTCACCATGGCATTCAAAGAACTAAAAACAACTTTTGACAAATTGGAGACAGAGACTCATTGGGTCCCAGTGAGCTGGTTACATTCATAACTAAGGGAAATTTCCATTGATTGTAGAGTAATGATTAGATCAGTTACCATTTTGGTGGTAGGGTGTTTTTAAAAAATCTTTATCACGGTCATAGATGTGCAATCTTGGTTAAAATTGAATGTTAGTTTTGTTTGTATCTTTTTATAGCCTTATTTCAAATACAATGTTTGAATATAAGATCCAAAATTGAAATTTGTACAGTACTGTATTCTGAGCAGTTTTGAATTTTCTGCCTGTCTTTATATATAGCTCTATCTCCAAGTTGAGGTTGACATTTTTAGAGAGACATAACTAGAGAATAAATATTAGAGATCAGCTGGTCTCAAACATGGTCGCTGCCATCAAATCTGCTCATTAGCATTTGCAAAGAATTAGCTACGCAGCCTTGAGCAGCTCCAGGCAGACAGGACAGCTTTGCTGGATTTTGGGTAGATCATCATAGGGGTCCTCTTTCTATTCTAAAAGTGCAAGCTTTTTCTGATGTATATGCAGTACAGTAAGTCCTCGCTTAATGTCATTAATAGTGGTTATTTAATGACCTATAAGGAAACCAATTTTACCGTAAGCTAATTGATATAAGCAGGAGTTAAGTTCCTATGGCATCTCATCAACGTTATAATGAAACTTATGTTGAACAAAACGACATTATACGAGGACCAGTGTGTGCATTTAAAAATCATTCTTAAAGGAATTACTGAAAAACTGCCCGAGTGAACTTCTTGTTATAGCTTGAGGGGACTTATGAGTACTATCTGTACTCAACAAATATTTACTAAGGGAAGATAGGGCTAAAATTTATTATATATGTAACTAAATTTTTTCCTTATAGCATTGATCTTAAAATGTTTATATCTTGGTGCAAGAAATGATTACAAAGGACATTTTTATTTGTATATCCTTAGGTAACATTTCTAGAGTCACAAAAAAGTGTTTTGTTTTGTTTTTTAAACTGGCTTTGGATTTTCCCAATAAATTATAAGAATGTGATTCCTATTCTAAAAGCAGAGATTTGACATGTTTCTGGTGTATTTAAAGAAGATACAGTTAAAGACAAAAATGTTAAATATGTACAGTTTATCACCATATACTTAAATTGTACTAAGATGTACTTCAGAAAACTTTTCATGTATTAACTTATTTCTTCATCAAAATATTTCTTAATACTGGCCAGATACCACCATAATCTTGCCATTTTTAAGAAGTTTAAGAAAGGCTCTTATAAATTTTTAGATGGAACCTCTTATTTTTCTTTTATACTACTGACCTCCAGCAAGTAAATTATATAGCTCAAAATAGTAGAAATGTTCATAAGTTATATTAGAATATGTCCTGTTATTCTTGCATGCAATAAGATCCTGCCAATCAAAAAATCTTTGCATCTGTGACTTTCAAACAGAAAAAAAAGAAAGGTTTTTGTTGATTTATAAAAGAGAGTTTAGATGCCATGTTTAAAGAAAAATAGAATGCAGTAAAATTTTATATATTTATGAACTATATGAGAGGCATATTTTTTAATTATTAAATGAGGCTACTCATAAAATAAATTATATGCATAGATGGAAATAACTTAAAATAGTAGTTTTATAAGTCAGGGTCAGCATTCCATGTAAATATTTGACCTTTATTTCGTACACAGGTAGACCCACTAGCGTGTTATATGTGCACTGGACATGTAGTAGCATTATCCACTGGATTTCCTTCAGACATGTCAGATTTCATTTTAGAAACAGAGACAAAAAGTACTGTAATGATCTTGACACACACCAACATATTTAGATAATCGGACTAAGTATCACTTAACATAATCCAAACAATGGTTTCTATGTTTATTAACTAAATAGTAAACAATATGCTTTTTAAAAAGAGGGGGAGGGATTGCCAAATCTGATCCTAAAGCCATACTTAAAATTGTGTGCTGGTCAAGTCTTACTTAAATGGTTTGACTATTGATGAAAATATCCTATACAAAGAGTAATGGGAAATATATGATAATTTAGGCAATCATATAAATAATTTGGCAATCCAAATTCTTTTTTCTGAAATATCTACATGAATTTTATTTATTTATTTGCAGATAACTGCCTCAGTTCTTTACTGTAGGGGTTGAGATAGTATAAGATGGTGGAGACTGAATCCTTTTTCTTCTGGGGACTGGAGGTTATAAAAATGTAACTGTCCAAACCTTTCTCCCTTTTTAGACTAGAGCTAAATAATATTTTGAAAATAGTGTAAAGGGGGTACTTTGAGAAATCTTTTATCAGGTAGTGTACATGGTCTGGCAGGTGAAGTTTACGTAGCCACTTGATGCTTACAAAGGATATGGTTACAATTTAATAAGGCAGTGCCAGCTCCAGGGGCTGCTTGATAACTGTCACAAAGGCTCTTGATTCTGTACTCTCTGCACCCCAAACTCCTCCAGCAAGGAAACGATGGGCTGCGTACCTCCCTGTACTAGTTCTTTAAGTAACCTGCTCCCAAGACAGAGTGTCAGCCACTATTTGAGAGAAGAGGAATGTTTTTTAAATCCAAATATTTAATCCAAGATCAAAAAGAAATTTGTATATTCCCATGACTAACAAATGAGAGTCAGTTAAAAATAAAAAGGTGGAATTGAAATATAATATTGTACCATTATTTTACCTACCAATATAGATGTTTTTGAATTTTTAAGGCTGACATTCCTGGTATTATGTATATATATCTAAATGATAATTTAAAATTGATGAACATGGAAACTTCTCAGATTTACAAAACTATGTTGTTAAAAGCTTCCTGAAGATAGATTTTTATTATTTATTTTCTTTATGACTAGTAAAAATTTATAAATAAATGTAATGGAAAACCTTTGATCTTAATAAAGTATCTTCAAATTATGTGTCTACTTTCTTGAAAATTGTTTTTTCACTTGGAGATTACACTGTTTCCAATGGTAGAACAAATTCTGTTCTTTACTGATATCAAGTGATTTATTTGAACTTGCTGTGTCTAAAATTAAATTTCATATTTGTTTCAAATATTTGTTGGGTTCACCAAGTTTTTTGAGAAATGGAATTCACTAGTCTTGCTCTTACCCATACAGTTCAGTGATGTGTAGAAATGCAGTGGGATGCTCTATGCAGGCTGCCATGGTGGTAATACCCCTCCCCCTCTCTTCCTCATAGGCAAAAAGCTAAACTTATTCTGCTGTGCATATGAAAGCTTATACAGTGTTGCAGTAAAGAGCATAATTGTTGAGTTTTTGCCTATTACTAGCTTCCCAACCTTGAGAAAGTCATTTAATCTCTCTAGTCCTCATTTTCTCATTAGAAAACAATGGAGACAATAATAGTGCTTACCTCATGGGATTGTTGTAGGCATGAAATGAAACAGCTGATCCATGTAAAGTATAGGAACCAAACTTGGAATTGAAATATTCACTAACTGTGAGCTCCTGTTTTATAATGATCATTCTCACATAACATAATTTAAAAATAGCTATACAAATATTCTAGTTACCCTACATAGTTTCCCTATTAGTTACGTCATTGGAAGTTTCCTAATAAATAATTTCTATTATAAGCTTTATTATTTTTAAAAATTCCATTACTCCAAGTGTTACATCAGGAAATCATTAGGTAATCTTCAATATAAAAGTGATCCAGTTTTTACTTTTTGCCTCTGGTATGCAGTATAGTTGATATCAATTTGAAAGAAATGTCTCTTCATTATATTAATGTTCTTACATCTGCTACCACTCTTTTCAAATGCTTGCTCAGTTACTTAACCTGAGAAAGGCTAGAAATATATTTCTTTTACAACATTTTTCATATATACACTGAGTGGCCAGATTATTATGACCACCTGACATTTGTAGGCAAATTAGACGTACACTGCATCATATGGGATATGGAAGCCGAAGGCCTGTTTGAACCCCTTTGCTATCTGCAGTTGCCAAGATAAAACGTCTCCAATTCACACAGGAACACAAGGATTGGACAGTCGAGCACTGGAAAAAAGTCATGTGGTCCAAAGAATCATGTTTCCAATTGCATCATGCAGATGGCAGAGTGAGAATTTGGC